CCCCAAAACCCCAAAACCCCAAAACCCCAAAACCCCAGTGTTCTTGAATTAATCATTAAAGAAGTTAAATATTTTTAATATTAAAGAGCTCCAACACCAAAAATAATGTTACCGACTGACGAATTTGAAATGGAATGCAAGAGTTTCACTGATTTGGACAACATTGACTTGAAGGTGAGATGTCTACTGACTTTCCACAATATATTTTGGTTTAATACCCCATAGAAATTTTATAGTGAGTCTAGATTTCCTTAAGGAAAGCATCTCTCATAATCGCTATCGGTGGTTGATGCTAAGATCTTTGTATCAAATTTTAGGAACTATTTAGTACATCTACAGCTTCTGATTTATAATCCAAACAAACTGTATTAAAGAGCTGCTTGCTAAGAGAATAATTTTTCAGTTTTCTGATGTTTACTCTGTCAGAAAGCCAAAATACTTTGATTTTCGATTATAACCAGAGTATTTTTGATATTATGTTTCTCTCTGTTGGGCTACACCAAGGCTCTCGCTCTTTGTCCAGAGGATTCCTCATTATAGTCTGAAAGTAAGGTTTGAATTGCTACTAGTATTGAACCAGATAATAATTATTGTGAATACTTTTGATAATAAGGTTCTCAAATCTCTTCTAAAAATAGCAAAACAGCTTTATTTTTTGCAATTTATATCGTTCATTCTGGCCGTGAAAGGATGATCTATTTGATCCCTCTTCTATAGGAACAATTAAGTGAGCTTGAAGGGTGAGATCTCACACTTAATGTGATAAAAACACCCCCTAGGAATATTAATCATTGAAGTCCTCCAAGAGTTCCAGACAGCTTTGGTCAGTCTTTTATCTGCTCATTGCATGAGAACGAAGAGTCTAATAAAAATGAGGAAGCAAAAAGATCTAAAAATCCAACAGTTGAGGAAGTGTTTGGCACTTTTAATTCAAATCCTCCACTTTTCTTGCCTCCGCAGTGAATACCTACTCCAAAGCTTGAGCTGAGTTTGTTCAAGGTCGATGAAAAAGAGCAGACTTCAAAGTCACTTGAACTAATTTCATTACTTCCCAAATTCAAGACTTACACTGGCTTTGACCCTAAATAACGAAAATGAGAAGGATAGGTCCAGGCAGGATGTAATTAACAAAACCATGCTAAGAATGGTTAGGAGGTTCTACCACAGACTCTTCCTCCAGGATAACAAAAAGATAACAAAATAAGAGATATCGTAACGTTGAGTTCACGACAACCCTCGAAGCTTGCAAATCAATTGTGAAGAATTATCTCCAGAAAGATGTTAATTCTCAACTGCCTCTGTTTCTATTGCTCTTCATTGGGATTAAATACAAGGAGGACTCTAAAAGTGCAGTAATGAAAGAAGGTAAGCATTAATTGGCTTGAAAGGCTTCCTGCAACATATAGAAATTGACAAAATCAAGAGCTGAGAGGCCTTAGAATGCCTCTACACTTACTCAAGATCAAGATATAGTAGAATACACTTGTCTAAAGAATTCAAAGTTATTTTTACATATGCTTACACCCAGAAGCTACCTGGAGAAGAGAAGACCTGACTTGAGATGATCTTTGAGGAAGAGACTAAGAAGATTAAGGATGACCACCAGAAATTTGCTGAATCTTTCAACGTTCTATACAACAGACTTCTATAACTTGAGTTAGATAATACTAATTTAATTCACAAATAGTATCTTTTGTTTAATATCTCAGAAGGCTGGGATGTACTTCTGGTGCAATAATTTGGCTCAAACATCCTAATTGGAAGCCTATCCCAATAAAAAGACATAGTAGTATCGTAGTCTTATCGATCTTATCCTAGGACCAATAATAAAATTTCAATTCTGTACACTAATCCGAAATCAAAATGAATCAATTTTGAAAATTAACTTCTATCTTCAAAATCTAGTATTATAAGCTTAGGCTCTCAATCAGCCTGTTTCCCAGATAGCTATTATCTTCATATCGACATTTGGCAGCTTTCTACTTGATCTTCAAGCTTCTTTCTTCCAAAGTGACTGGTTTCATCAAAATTGTAATATTAATTAAGCGATTTTCTAAAATTCTATTTAGTTTTCAACCCTCAAGAGGTCACTTGGGGTTTTGGGGTTTTGGGGTTTTGGGG